GGGAGGGGGAGGGGGAGGGTGAGACCATGAGGAATGCACGGAACATTGCCACGTATAAATTTTTGTTTCATTGCCATAAATATCACGATACAGCGAAACCGTTCGACCCTGAGCAAGCTTGGGCCGATCATCTGAACCGCTTGGCAGACATCGACAAGCTGTATCCGAGTAAAACGCCTTTGCTGGCTCGGCATATTAGCCCTCCTCTCAGTACGAAACGATTGTTCGATATTCACGGTGAGTATCTCTCGTTGCTCATATTTCACTTCCTGCCTTTAATCTGTTAAACATAGTTGTTTCTTCGAACATTGGATCTAGAACTTAATAAGAAATATCGGTGTGTTAGAATTGAATAGAGCTATAACGAAGTGGATAAATAGTGGAACTTTACTTTTCAACTTTGTGTTAAATCTTCGTACATACTTTGGTTAAAAAATAATTTATTATTAGTGAATAATAGTAAAAAGAAGAAAGGTGATGAAGAAGATAGACAAATTATTGTTGCATCATGTCTCTTTGTGACATTTTGTAGAATACTCGTGAAGATTTATAGATGGATCAGATTTTAATGGAGTCATTACGATAAGGTAATAGGAGACAGATGTTACAAATACAAAGAATTACTCTTTATATTTTATAGAATATTCATTTGAGAATGGATTGAAGAGATACTTGCAGCTAAACAGTTTCCTGATTTTTATATTTGCTATTTATTTTATTTGCAGTTGTTTGTTAAAATTTTAAATCTAGAATACTATTCAATTATTTCAGCATGATCATCTTTCTCTACTGAATAATCTACAACTTGAAATCTAAAACAGATTCATTTCTCTTATCAGTATAATCTCAAATTCAAAGCTCTATTTAATCATTCAATTTATAACTTACAATTATTTTTTTCCATTGATATCCTCCAGCAATTCTTCTTCGTAATTTTCAATTGAAACATTCTTTTCGAAAGGTTCTAGAGCATACACATTATAATTTTCTGATACACAATTCATTAAAATTGGAAACTCCACAATATACAAAATATAGGAAATCCAAGAATCTATAAATGAACTTTTAATTTCAGGCAACTTAGTGACCGATTACGATTACTTACCATCGTTCCCCTCGTTGTTACGCAAGAAACCCCTATTCGATCTTCTCGAACCATCACCGATGGCACCGATCAGTGCGTTTACCAGAGATCCATGGTGGTACCCAAGCTATGCTCCCTATATTCCGAGCTATGCTCAAAAAGCCACCCCGTTCTATCTGAGGGACAGTTACCTTAGTCCTGTTAAACGTAGTTACCTGTGGAGCCGACATCCAATCAGGCCTTTCGGTATGTAGCTACTTTATTTTATTATTAGCGACGTTTTTTTACGAATAGAAGATCGTTCTTTGTCTGAGAGAATGATTGTCATTGAATCTTGTACAGATCAAGGCACGCTGTTAAATTACTGCAGTCACTTACAATCCAACGATGCTATTTAAAGATTAATATACATTAATATGTGCAAACCGAATCGAATAAATAATAGCCTTCAAGAAGAAATTCATCTTCTCGGATAAAGAGCAGGAAATAGTACGATAATTTTTCTTCTAGACAAAGAAATAATTTTTTAATTTTTTTTTGTTTTAATGAAATCAAAGTTTTTATTCAAAAAAATATCTATTTGTTAATTTAACTTTCAAACGTACTCCAGCTATTTTTTTTTTTTTTCTTAAGTTTAAAATGAAGAATCGAATAAACCCTTTGTTAGTCTTTTTTTAGAGCTTAGACTCAAGTGAATCCGAACAAAATTCTTCTGAAAACAATCAATTACAATGAATTACACAGCAGGAAGAAAGCTTAGATCAAGCATTGAAAATTCCACAATCCGAATTCCAATTCTAAACACTAGTCAACAAGTTTTGTCCTTTCGTTAGTTTGCCTTGATGAAATTCAACTTGAAACGAAAAAAAAAAAAAAAACAATAGCAACGAAAACTGAAACAAAGAAACAAAGGTTTAGTAACTCTGTGTAAAAATTTTCACACATTGTTCTTTCATGGTCGTTATCAATTATTTATGCGTTATCAACGTTTAATTATTTACAAAATCTGACGATTCTCACTTCGAGTGAAGATCTCTTCTTTCGGCGACGTTCGATAGAGTGCTTGGTTGCGTAACGTCTTATAAAATGGAATTAAGTCTGGCATTATCTGGCCGATGATTGTTTACCATTTGGCACGAGCGCAGATATTGTTGCTTCTCAAGAAATGATCGGCGTGATTCTTGGCGACTCGTGCCGGACGCGGACTTCCGGCTGAGAGCCAACTGCTCCTTCCTCTTGGCAGCCTTTCGTCGATTAATTAACGATTGCGTGTTTGTGTTGCACTTTATTAAAACACCATTATTCAACCCTGTCGCCTGCCTCCGCGAATCAAACACCTGACGTTGCATAAAAGATTTATTATTAGAAACTTGTTGAATGTGGTTGAAAGCAAAATGTGGATTGTACGAGCGCAACCCACGACGAACGTTTGAAGGTTGCACGACACGGATTAAAAATTAAAATTATTTTTATTGAGTTCACTTCAGTCTTCGAAGCTTTAGATGAGAAGTGTTTCAGTTTAAATGTTCATGATTTGTTCAAAGAAACACAGCTGTTACAAGTAATCTAGAATGCTCGTGCAGTAATCCTTTATTATAATGATTGTTTGAAATCATTGAAAAAAATGATATTCTGATTTTTATGTCGATTAGAAGAATTTTGTTATTAATTTAGAATCAATGTTACAAAATATCAGTAGTAATCTTTTTTTCTTTTTTTTTAATTCAAGAGATTTTTAACTAAAGAATGCTTTCAATTGCGTGACATTTTAAATTGAATTCTACGTAGTGAACTTTCAAGTGCTGACAGAAATAATGAGAATAATAATTTACTTACAAAGGAGCAAATTATATACGGGTTATTAAATTACAAAATGTTCGGGTCAATAAACAGCTTGCTTTTTTTTTATATATATTTTTATAAAGGCAAGAGCATTATAGCAAAACTAATACTTTCGATGCTCGCTTGATTCAAATGTCACGGTAATAATATCATCACCTAAAGGGTTAATATCTTTTTTATCCATTCAATATCCGTGCTCTACTTCCGTCATCGCAACTTCATACTTCATTTACAAAAATTTTATAAATTCAGAACTAAGAAACTTTCGCTTAATTTTAATATTTAATAGTCTGCCTAAACTTTCCGACGTTATCTAAATCTTATCATTGATATGTCCCAAATTTTTGACTGGTGAAAAAAGGATGTTTAAATTTGAATGCTTATTTTTATATGTCAGCTAGTTGAAAATATGACAAGAGAATATGCCTTGCAATTTTCTGTCGTCCTGATAGCTAACTGCGATGATAGTATTGCTGACTTTGCAGCATTGTTTCACCTCGCAAAGGTTTCATTTCATTGATACGAAGCCATCCACTTGCTAGATTATTTTCTCAACATTATGCCGCCACATGCACATGAGCCTCGATCGAACGTTACTCGTCTGATGAATTCACATACGAAGATGTGCACTTACTTGCATGAAAGTGATCTAAAGTGATTAATTTAAATTAGTAAAGAAACACCGATAAAAGAGGTTGCATTCGAAAATTCAGAAAATATGTACAGAATTCAAGGGAAAAAAAAAAAAATGCAAAATAAATTAAAAAATAAAAAGTAAGAAGAAGAAAAAAGAATTTCTCAATGAGTAGAGGTGATATGCAACTCTCGAATATATCTGTTGTATTTCAGGAGCGTTATACTACTATTATTCGCAGCCAGTTCCACGATTTCACTTTACTCGCCCGTGGTACAATAAACGTACCACATATTAAGAAACAAAGTGAGCGATAAGATTAAAATGTGGCCAAATGTGTTTTGCAACCTTGTCATCCTCATTACACGTTAATTCCGTGAACAAATAATCAGAAGGAACGAATATCACGTCATGCTGCTGTACATACTTTTGGCTACGACGAGATTTATTTATCAATTAACACGCAGCTAAACGTAACAAACGTAACACGAACGAAAATGATACGAGTCTTTCGAACGAGAATTTAGAATCATTATTATCATAGCTCGTGTATACCTGGGCTGTTCGAGCGACATACTGAAAACACACATAAATACATAAATACATACATATATAAATATATCGATTCTAACTGCGTCATCGTAAGATCATAAAATAAACCACTTACCATTTTTACAATTCGAAACAATTCATCCAATTAAAAAAAAAAAAAGTATATATATATAATTTGTAAAAATATATATATATATATATATAAAACGAAGAATTATCCCCAAACAGTGTCACATACATATGTATGTTGTCTGTATTTTGTACGTGACTTACGTGCCTGGATTTACAACGTCCTTTCTAATAGGTTTCTTTCTCTCTTTTTTTTTTTTTTTTATTTGAAACACGCTCCTCTATGTACTCAACTAATATGCATATCAATATACAATTGTGTACATATCGACAGAATATCGAGGCATGCCTTGCAAACAGAAACTCTCGGAGTAAGTTGAATACATAAAAAAAAGTTCACTAAAAGAGTTCTCAACAATTAATTGTTTCCATCGGATTTTCCGTCGATAAGTTTGTGTTTGCAGGCGATTTCAGATTTTAACACAAGCAGCTTCAGACGTCCCGCGAGATATCGACGGATACCGGAAACACGATCCGTGTCGAAAGAAAAAAAATTTTTTTTTTTTTCTTTTTACAGTGTAAAGATCCTTTCCTCCCTTTGTTGAAAGATATTCTAATTCTCACTATTTATGTGTATGTGTAATATACACCTATTCTACATCCCTATAGCGTCACGTTTCGAGAGTTCTATGAAAATACTGTATTATAAAAATTCTTTATCTCTGACAAAAGAAACTCAGTGATCGAGTATACTCCGAAATCGTATATTTAGAAAGTCGTTTAATCGATCAATCTTCATTTGACTTGGAACTCTCGAAGCAAACGTTCTATTTTTACTTATACTTGTGCCTGATCCATCAATCGATTTTTTTGCAGCACACGCCTACTGATGACTGTGTCGCCCCGCATGGAACGCGTGATACGAAAATAAGCGATGAAAAAAAAAAAGCCAAATAAAATCACGAAAGAAAAAAAAGATAACAAAAAAAAACAATGTGAAAGAGTATTTGCAACCATTTCGATACCTATTTTTGCCTGATTATTTCTTTTCTCACAGTGCGTATCATCGTCCACGGAGTACTACTATTTATTAATGTTTCTCGCCATCATGGTTTATTGTACTATTCGTTCGTGTTGTCTACGAATAAAATAAACACTGCCTAAATTTTACTACAAATCTTTTTTTTACAAAACGATCTTATCGCTCTCTCTCTCTCTCTCTCTCTCTCTGTTGCATTTGCATCCGTATAAATGGAAATGTAATTTAAAAGCAAAATATCAAACCCAGAGGAACAGGTTTGTACAACAATATGCATGTTTATTATCTAAAAGTTTTACATCTTTAGGATGTCCATTGCATTGTTGGCCTATTTTGCCGGGATTCGATCGATGTAACAACAGAGAATAGCCGATCTACCTTCAAACAATTTAGTATTCAGTGTTGCACTTTATATTCTCTCGTATATTTGATGGAGTGTCGTCGGATCCCGGCCGATCGGCCATTTACAAATAT